AAGAATAAAGGAAACTCCCCCAACCCAACCAAGGGTCAATTCAGTGATCAATCAGGATAACAGATGTGATCACATGACATTTCCCATGAGGCATTAACTACATTTACCATGAGGCATTCCCTTAAGGGGACAGCTCCCAATTCCCAATTAACTATATACTGTCTGAACAGCACACTTGTACTAAATGATACTATATCACAACTGAGAATGGCAACTTGTTTGTAACTGATGATTGCTAAATGGAAAATCACATGACTGCAACTGTACTTATGATTTTACTTCAGCTTTCCCTTTCTCCCACTCCAGTGCTTTAGCATACTCATTCTAACACGGGGATAATTAGTAAGAAGAGAATTAATGTTTGTATTTACATTCATTGGAGGAAAAAAGAAACTACACAATTGGAAATATTCATTGAAAGGAAAATACTATTACAAGCTGTTTGCCTACTGCATTCATAGTTCTGCGTCCCAAGTAACTCAGGAAGCAAACAAAAGTCAAAGTGTGATAATGATTAAAGTCTTGTCAGCTCCAGGCAGCAGTTGTAAACTACTAATTAAGGACAAACAGCTGAGCTTAACTTGTGGTCAGTGTCCTTTGGGGAAGTGCTGAACTATGGAGAAAAGCAGGTGAGAAAAAGATTGCATGTTTTAAGATTGCATGTTTTTCTTTGCTGTGGGGTGGGAACAGTGACACACAAGACATACATGCTTTAAATACAGTGGTAAAGATGTTACAGACAAAGATGTTGTAAAAGTTGTAAATGTATACCTTGGTCACAGACTTATTTTTTCAGCATGACTGTGACTTTAAGTAAGGTTTATCTTTAGCAGGGGTATCAAACTCAAGGCTGGTGGGCCAAATGTGGCCCATGATGTGGTCGAATCCAGCCCACAGGGCCGTCCTGGAAAATATAAGGGGGTGGTCTGCGTGGCTTCGGCAGATCTACCCAATGTGAAGAAAAATCAGTGGAACAGCATGTCTTCAGCCCAATCTACCCAATGCAAGAGGAAACATCGGGACAGTGTGGCTTCAGCCCAGTCTATCCAATGTGAAGAGGAAACATCGGGACAGCATGGCTTCAGCCCAGTCTACTGAATGCAAAGCGGAAACATGCCAGTAGTTTGGGGAGTGGCATCAAGCTGGCCATGCCCACCGAGCTGGCCATCTCCATCCATTCAGCCACGCCCAGTGAGTGGCTTTAAGCTGTCATGCCCACCCAGTCGGCCACACATCCCCGCCCCCCCCTGAGGTAAACCACCAGCCCTGATGCGCCCCTCAATGAAATTGAGTTTGACGCCCCTTGTTAGTGTTTGGGGATTAACCCCTAGCAGAGTATTGCAGCAGTAGT